TGATAATCATGAGGAGGTAGGATTTGCTGTTTCTTAATAGAAGAGGGAAGAGTATTGTTGGCACTCACATGACCCACTGGGGTGCCTCTTGGTATGCCTATGTCCACACTCAGTTATAACTTGCCCAGTGAAGCAACTGGCCTGATAAGTATATGGTGAACAGGCGGTCAAAAAGCTCAGGGATGAGGGCCTGGGACACAAGACAGCAGAAATGCAAGTGAAGGAAAATCTAGAACGTGTTGTGTAGGACGGAGATAATGTATCACCTAAAGCTTTAGGACCAAATGCACCACATGGCTGTAGTTCATCACCCTAATTTGCCCTTTGGAAGTTTCCCCAGAAATCATGACAGTTCCTATGTAGCAAACAATATGAAAAGCAAGAGAACCTGAGCAAGACAAGAGATGGACTCCACTGGGTATTGATAACGATCTGTTTAGATCCCCTTATCCAGGCAGATGGACCCAAATTACAGTGAATGGTGGCCTCTAACAACCCCCCATTGCCTCCTCCTCCAGAACTTGGCCTCTGGTTGAATAGCAGCTGCCTCCCTGGAGTGGATGTCCTTCTGCTCCCCTTCCCCACCTCTCCCTCAGCAGCCAGTGACCAATAACTGATTTATGCAGAGTACAAAAGTCTATTTCCCTTGTCTTAAGACAGAACCAGCTCTCTGGTGCAACATGGACTCCAGAGCTGCCCTCACGACTAGATGGAAGTTAGTTTCGCTCCAGACTATTTGTTACTTAGCTTTCTTCCCATGCCCCACCCTCCTTCTCCAATGCCCCTTCTTCTGAGAGCCCACCTCAATCCATCACTTTAACAAAAATCCCCATCTCTGGCCCCATCTCTTCTCTGGACCCTAACCTAGGACATTTACCCACCCCTCTGCATGGCTCTTCCATGTGGGGTACCCTTGTGGCTCCATGCTTATAAGGGTACCCAAGGGAAAGCACAGCATATTGAGGATGATATTGTATTTCTTCTTGCACCATAGTTTGTCAGCCTTAAGAATAAGACTAGAATGCAAATGTTCTTTTTCCCTAACCTGTCACCTTGATGTATCATCCAATATGAGTGAATATCAGAATCATTCACCAGCAATCACACAACATATTGTAAATACCGATTTTATATATAGTGCAGAAAGTACTCCATTATATACCTTAAAAATTTTTGGCTGGAATTTAAGTATTACCCACCATTAGAAATTATTGATCAGAGTAGGTGGTAGATTTCCTCTTCCACTTTCCTTTCTTTTTCTGAGACAAAGTCTCATTCTGTTGCCCAGGTTGGAGTGCAGTGGTGCAATCTCGGCTCACTGCAACCTCTGCCTCCCGGGTTCAAGTGGTTCTTGCACCTCAGGCTACCAAGTAACTGGGATTACAGGTGCCCACCATCAAGCTCAGCTAATTTTTGTATATTTAATAGAAAAAGGATTTCACTATGTTGGTCAGGCTGGTCTCAACCCCCTGACGTAAAGCGATCCACCTGCCTCCCAAAGTGCTGGGATTACTGGTGTGAGCCACCAGGCCCTGCCCACTTTCTTTCTTTACTCAAACATCTAAGTTAACCAAATGTCTCTTTGTAAAGGCACTGACTTGCTGAGATGCCCCATGCAAATATTGCCTTCTTGTTGGGCCATTTCATCAAGGACAGTGTGATACTTTTTAAATACAGTGTGAGGATTATAAGCCTTATAAATCAAAGTTTATTTTTCATCTTTTGCCTATGGATGTCCAATTGCTCCAGCACCATTTGTCAAAAACACTTTTTTCTTCATTGAATTGCCTTCATACCTTTGTCAAAAATAAGTTCGGCATATTTCTGTGGGCTTATTTCTGGGTTTTCTGTCTCTGTTCATTTGATCCATGTCTCTATCCCTCTGTCGATACCACACATCTTTGATTTCTATGGCTACATAAGTATCGAAATGGAGCAGACTGCTGCTTCCTCCCAATTTATTCTTCTTTTTCAAAGTGTTTTAGCTATTTTAGTTCCTTGCCCTTTCATGTAAAGTTTAGAATAATCTTGCCCATATTGACAAATCTTGTTGCTGGGAAAAACCTGTATATTAATTTGGGAAGACTTGACATCTTTAGGACACTGAGTGTTTCAGCCTATGAACGTTTGTCTCTCCATTTATTGATTTCTGTCATCAGTGCTTCACAGGTTTTAGCATATAAGTCCTGTATGCTTCTATTAGAGTAACACCTATTCCATTTTTTGGGTGATTGTAAGTGGTCTTATATTTTTAATTCTTCTGTCATGTGTCCATTGCAAGCATATGGAAATACAATTGATTTCTGTGTCTGTTCATCTTGAATTCTGTGATTTTGCTGAACTCCCTTATTAGTTCTTGTTTTGTTTTTTTTTTCTTTTAAGATTTCTGAGGATTTTCCACACAGACCATCACAATTATGTCATCTGCCAACAGAAGTTTGTTTGTTTGTTTCCTTCTGAACTATATGACTTTTATTTCCTCCTCTTGTCTTATTGCACTGGCTAGAACTTCCAGCATTGTGTTGAGTGACAGTGGTGAGAATGGATATTCTTGCTTTGTTTAGGGAGAAAACATCCAGCCTTTCACCATTAAGTATAATTGTAGCAGGAGTTTTTTGGTAGATTCTTTAGAAATCTAGTTGAAGAAGTACATATTGCCACCTATTCTTATTTTTCTGAGAGTTTTCATCATGAATAGATGTTAAAGTTTGTCAAATTAATTATGTGTACTGATTGATATAATAATGATTTTTCTTGTTTTACTGTTAATGTGGTGAGTTTCTTGATTTATTTTGAATATCAAACCAGCCTTGCTTCCTGGGAATAAATTCCACTTGGTCATGGTGTATAAATCTTTTATTTTTTTGAGACAGAGTCTCGCTCTTGTTGCTCAGGCTGGAGTACAATGGCGCAATCTTGGCTCACTGCAACCTCTGTCTCCCAAATTCAAGCGATTCTGCTGCCTCAGCCTCCCGAGTAGTTGGAATTACAGGCACCCACCACCATGCCCAGCTAATTTTTTGTGTTTTTAGTAGAGACAGGGTTTCACAATGTTGGCCAGGCTGGTCTCGAACTCCTAACCTCAGGTGATCCACTCGCCTTAGCCTCCCAAAGTGCTGGGATTACAGGCATGAGCCACTACGGCCAGCCCATGGTGTATAATGCTTATTAAATGTTGCTGAACCGGCTGGGTGTGGTGGCTCATGCCTGTAATCCCAAAACTTTGGGAGGCCGAGGTAGGCGGATCATGAGGTCAGGTGATCAAGACCATCCGGGCCGATATGGTAAAACCCGGTCTCTACTGAAAATACAAAAATTAGCTGGGCATGGTGGTGGCCGCCTGTAATCCCAGCTACTCAGGAGGCTGAGGCAGGAGAATTGCTTGAACCCGGGAGTCAGAGGTTGCAGTGAACTGAGATCACTCCACTGCACTCCAGCCTGGCATCAGAGTGAGACTCCCTCTCAAAAAAAAGAGACAGGGTCTCATTATGTTGACCAGTCTGGTCTCAAAGTCCTGCCTTCAAATAGTCCTCCCACCTCAGCCTCCCAAAGTACTGGGATTGCAAACGTGAGTCACGAGTCCCAGCACACGATTTCTTAAAAGCCAGACATTTCTTGCTTTTCCCCTCATAAAGATGAAATTATCTTTCCTATGGCGAACATATTGATAAAGTCAAATTCAAGTTACATGGCGTGAAAAAGGACTTTCATTCTTGTAGCTGAAACATGGAATTCCTGGGATTTCTGGAGGTGTTGCTGGTCCACCAGGACTTAGCAGGATATTTGAAGTGGGGGTTTGGGGTAAGCAGGTTAGTGTCCAGTCCTAATCACTGGAACCTATGCAGAAGCAACAAGAGGGAATGTAGGCTGCAAATCAATATACCTTAAAATAGATTCTCCTGAATTAGCCAGGTGAGCCCATTGTAATCACAAGGGACCTTAAAAGAGTCAGCCCTAGCCAGGCATGGTGGCTCTCACCTGTAATCCCAGCACTTTGGGAGGCCAAGGTGGACAGATCACCTGAGGTCAGGAGTTCGATATCAGTCTGCCCAACATAGCAAAACCCCATCTCTACTAAAAACATGAAAAATTAGCCAGGCGTGGTAGCGGGTGCCTGTAATCCCAGCTACTCACAAGGCTGAAGCAGGAGAATTGCTTGAACTCAGGAAGCAGAGGTTACAGTGAGCCAAGATTGGGCTATTGCACTCCAACCAGGTGACAGAGCAAGACTCTGTCTCAAAAAAAAAAAACAGAAAAAGAAAAAGAAAAAATAACAAAACAGGTCAGTCCCGGGAGGAGTGGGGTGTACCTGTAACCCAGGGAGAGGGCAAAGAAATGGATTCTTCCTCAGAGCCTCCACAAAGAGTGCAACCCCACCCAAACTATAAGATCACAAATGTGTTGAAGCTGCCCTATTTGTGGTCATTTGCTATAGCAACAATAGGAAATAATATGAGATTGTTCCAGAAATCAGGAATTGCATACTACCTGTGCCTTTTACTAATCCCTTTGGTCTAAAATAATTGTGACTGCCTCCATGTAGGAGCCTGGAAATGTTTGGTGGTAGCAGGACAAAGAGGACAGAAGGTGGAGCTTGGCTTTTGAGGCGAGAACTGGGAAAGAACAAGGAACAAAATGAAAACTCTGTGTGTGTAGCCAGCAGGGAGCATGAATCAGTTCAAATGCAGCTGACTCCCTCTGATCAGTGGATCCAAAAGAAAGGCAATGTATTAGGCTATTTCATTATTTTCTGTGTTCATTTTCAAATAAATATCTCATATGTTTTAAGGAGCTTGTATACCACAATTTGTAACTTTTATAATATGCAAATTTTAAAAATCCTTTAAACAAAATGTGGATGTCTAGAAATAATAAGTAATATAATGTGCAAGTCAAATTCTGTGGTCCAACGGCAATTTTTGAAAAATATAAATATCACTGTGTTAATAAATGTGTAAATTGAGAACCACTGGGCAAGACTACATCGGTCACTGTTGAAATAGATTTCCAATAAAATGAGATATTTTATTTAAAAATAAATCAAGTCTGGAAGCGATTTTGATTACTGCCACCAGAGGGCACTGTAACCTTTGCAGAAGATCAAAACTCAGCCATTAAACACTTCCCAGCCACAGGTTTATTTCTTTGAGAAAGCAACATGGCAGGGCAGAAAATGAACACCAGTAGTATATTTCAACTTTTTTTTCCTATGTTATTTTACTAGATTGTTTTTCTTATGTTTATTTTTATCTTACAAGTCAACCTCAAAAACGAAGCAGGAGAGAAATGAGCCATGCCTCTTTTTTCAGTTTAGAGGGGTAGCTGACACAGAATGAAAGCACAAACCGAAGCTATCATTTCCACATTAATATCTGGCCCCCAAACACCATGCAGTGCTAAAAGTTACGTTCCCATCATGCAAGCATATTAAAATACATGGCGATTACAACTCCTGGTTTTATTACACGGCATTGACTGTTTTGATGGGGCATGCTTCTTATTTGAGCTAAAGGTTAAAAAAAAAAATACAGATCAGTGAAGTCTCCTTACAGCAAGAGAAATATATAAACCTCTTCTTGACGAAGAATCCATTTTCAAAGTTTTTTATGTGGTTCTGGGGTCATACGGGAAAGAATTAAGATGTGCAGAAGAGGCAAGGGAATTGCTTCCTGCCTCACGCCACAGAGAAACGTGTCTACTCAATATCTCAAGGAGACTAGTGGCTTTCTGTGAGGGGAGAAATTATGCCCCTTCCCAGTCCATGTCATGCAGGCTGCAAAATTTCATTTCAGGGCCTTTTATTTTTCTTTTGTTAATGAATGTGAGGTTCTTATGATGCTCAGGTTGGCCTTGAACCTCAAGCGCCAGGACAACTGGCCCGAGCCATCGTGGCTCCCGGGGCCTTTGATTTTTCAATGATGTATTACAAAACCCTAGGCAGGGCAGTCATCTCCCACTGCTAGGACTCAATTTCTCCTGTGAGGTATAAGAAAAGCTGGAAGAGAAATAAACTGAAAAACCCAAATTGGGTATCCTATTCTTGTTAGACTGAAGAAGAAATACCCCCTAAAACTTTATGTGCATATGGCAGTTTTTCTGTACCTAACACTACTCAATCATTTATGTGGCTATATCAAAATATTGTCTGTCGGCTGGGTGCAGTGGCTCATGCCTGTAATCCCAGCACTTTGGGAGGCAAAGGCAGGCGGATCACCTGAGGTCAGGAGTTTGAGACCAGCCTGGGCAACATGGTGAAACCCCAGTCTCTATTAAAAATATAAAAATTAGCTACGTGTAATCCCAGCTACTCGGGAGGCTGAGCAGGAGGCAGGAGAATCGCTTGAACCCAGGAGGCAGAGGTTGCAGTGGGCCGAGATCCCGCCACTGCACTCCAGCCTAGGCAACAGAGAGAGACTCCATCTCAAAAAAAAAAAAAAAATGTCTTTCTTACTAAGAGTTAATGTGCCTGTGAATTTAAACATGGCTTAAATTTGGATAGCACTTCTTTTCAAAAGACTTCAAAATATTTTTCTTTGAACCTGTTTCATCTCTGTGACATTGTTTGTGGCTGGAATGCTACCTGAGGAAAAGATCATAATTACATAAAAAGCAATTAAGAGAAGAAGGTCAGGGGACCAACCTCTCATCACTAAGTTGGGTCTCTGACATCTGACAGCACATGCCTCAAAAGGCAAACAAAATACACACTCTCCATTTCTTTAAATATACATTTTCCATCCAAGGATCTCACAGCACCTCCCAAGTCATCTAATGCACAGAAGGAAAGAAAAGGAAACACAGCATGATTAGGTTAAACCCCAATCCATAGACAGGCGCCAGCAGGTTGCCGCAGGTCCATTAGAAAGAGAATGTATTCAAGCACAGAGAGGGGCCCTTAGGTTTCAAATGGAGAATTTAGCTTAACGGCCACTAGGGTCGGCCCTGTGCTGAGCCCAGTGTGAGGAAATATTCAGTCCAAGTCAAACTTCTTGGTTCCTCAGTGGGCTGTGCGCCAACAGCAACTTCACAAGGTAACAGGTGAAGTGAGGTGGGGGGTGGAGAGGAGGGAGGGGCAGGGGGCCGCTGGGAGTCCTGAGACTCAAATTCCCATGTCACCACCGGAGGCTCTGGGCCAGGCACTTCACTGTTACAATCCACAATCATCTCATATGGAGCGTGGGCAGCGGGATGGGTGGGGGAGCAAAGGGGGCTGAAAAAACACCAATTTGCAAACTACAAAGTGCTCTGTAAATATAAGGCATGGGTTTCACATTGAAATCTGACTCCAAACACAATCTCTTTCTCTTTCTTCCCCTTCCTGGAGTCTTTGTAATCTCACACTTTAGGAGTCTTTCTAGGCCTTTGATCCTATGCTAAGATTTGAGCTGCTGTGGCAAAACCAACAATTCTTAAAAGCAACAGAGGCCCTTCAAATGCAGGCCTCAGCGTGTCTACTGGCAACATACCAACCAGTGAGGGCATCACCTCAGACTCCACTTTGGGTCTGCAGGCTAACAATAGAGGGAAAAGGTCCTCTTTACTACCCTAAAGAGGAGTCCTCTCTGAATCTTAATCCTTAGCAGGTGCCACAGGTTTGAATCTACGTGTGCTAAGCACACTTCCTTCCTGAGCAGCCATGGTTTTATGTCACTCCACGGCTCAAAGACCCTATGGGACCCCATGAAACTACCCCAAATGTGTCTCAGAGGTGACCCAGTCTCAAGAAGTGTACTGAAAGCAATCCGGTTTTCCTAATACTCTTTGGACCAGAAAAGTGGCTCGAAGCCAAAATAGAGAAGTCCATGTTTTCCTACATTGACTATCATGGAACGTGTCACCCACTCTCCCTCTCACTCCTGTCTATCCCCCCACCCACCTCTCGGTGACCACAGCCTAAGCTGAGAACTCACAGAAGCAGCCCTACTTTCTAGCACAACCTGATCAAAAGCAGAATTTACAGGGGGAAAAACACGAATGGGCAGACGATGGGGCTCCAGAAAGGCTGGCGCAAAATTGAGCAGCTCAGTGTAACTCTCACCCCAGAAAGTTCTGCAAAGTAAGCTTTAACTAACAAAGCAAAACTCTAGGCTAACGTTCTTGACGTGCCTTTGAAAAATAACTTTAAGAGTTGGCTAAGTAATCCCAGGGATCTTTTTTGTCTTTAAGTTGGTGAAACATGTCTTTATGAAAAGCCAACAGAAAGCATTCAAAGGTATTCACAAACCCTGCTCAAAAGTTTCTGGAGCTCTTCAATTTAGGAAAAACTGGAAGTCTACAGGTTGGTGTTGCAAACCAAAGAAAAACAGGTGGAGGGTACTTTGTGTCACACTGTTATTTCCTCTATTGTTACTTGTCTTTCCTTCAGTACTGTTTACACTACAAATCCTAAATAATCCTCCTTCTGGTGTTGGCTAATCACTGAAGGAATCGATCATTTCCAGGACCGAAAGGTTAAATCACGGCTCTCTCAAGCCAGGGCATCAGAGTCCAACCTGAGGACCTGAATGTTTCCTCTGTCAGGGCACCACAGGTCAGACTCATCTTCAGTAGCTTCCCTAGGTAGAGAAGTACCCACATGTTTGCTGGGCCAAACCGATTGGCCTGGCCTCTTATCTTAAAGAAGCTTCTAGTAGTACAACTTGCTTCATGTGTTTTTTTTTTAATGCTAAGGTTGCTTTTTGTTTGTTTGTTTGTTTGTTTGTTTACAAAGTATTAAGGCTTCTTAGTAAAGCTTGGGGTAAATATTCAACAACTATTTCCATTTTATTTGCAGATATAATTCAGGTGGTTATTTCCATTTGAATGTCAAGCCACACTTTGAAACTATAAAGCAGAAGAGGTTATGTCAACAGTTTGTTAGGGTAGGTAGGGCCAGCATGGGTACTTGGTGAGTTGTGGCTATTTTTATGGCAAGAAATATTCATGGTGATTAGTAGGGGAAGACTTTCATACTGTTTCTCTATGAGCTCTCTTTAACACAACAATTCCTAAATTTCTATTAGTCTTTAATGAAAAGATGACATTAGTTGTGTTGCATTTGGTCTAATGTTTTCAGGCATAAATGGCATAAAGCTTAAAGTTTATTTAATAGAAAGGATCATCGAAGATGAAAGTCCTTTTCTGCTTAAGAGAGTGACTTATGTGAGATATAGAAATCTAAATCTAAGAGCTCGGGGGATTGGGGTGGGAAGAAAAAGAAAAATTATGAATGCATGCCCCACTCTTTCCCACAAGGTTTCCTGAGCATTCCGCAGACAGTATAGTGCAACATCGTAACACCAGTGAATCAACAGTATTTCTATTTTTCTCAAGCTAAAAGTATAGACTCATCAAATATATACTAAGCACAACATATAATAGCATATCATCTTTTAAAACACTAGTAATTTGAACTTCTATAAATATATTTAAATAACAAACATATTATAGATAGCTATTCACATAGCACACAAGTGACATATAAACATACAAAAATAAAACCATCACGTTTAACTCTTTTGTTGTTTCTGTCTGTTGGTTTTTGTTTTTGTTTTTTGAGTAAAGATATTAAAACAATTCCAGCGCCAAAGTCACCTTGTCAATATGAATTCTGGGAAATCTGGATATATATTCACACTACGTATAAGAGCAGTAGACATTCTTTGCTGGACCTATTACTATCTCCTACTGTTGAGTAGGAAAGCTTGAAGGGAGTAGAGGTGTCCAACTGTGATGAGATGTTTTCTCTAGCTGTTGTAAGGAAAGGAAACATTAATCAGATCCCCTAACCTGCGTAAAGTGTGAAAACACCAAGCTGTCCTTTGAGTGAGCGGAATATGGAACATGCCCCATCCTTCAGCTCTCCCACGCGCCACTGTCTATGAAGTATTTCTCAACACGTGGAAAAGGCACCACCATTCTATACGAAAGACGAGGAATTTTTGTTCTGCAAATGACGTCTGTCCTTCCAGTCACTGCTATAGAAAACATTCCTCTACTCAAAAAGTGATTTGGGCAACACAGCTGCTCAGCCAGGTGGAATCATATCGTCTTCTTTTGAAAAACAGAATGTTTCCAAGGACAATTATTCCTGGTAAAATTTGATTTCTGTCCATAGCATTCTCTGGAGAGCAAGGAATAGAAGATACATTTCTCACATCCCACCTAGATCCCTGCATCACCGTGAGCTCCCAGCAGGAACACAAAAAATGCCTTTCAACTGAACTCAATCATTCCAATCTCAATGGATACGTTATGACCAGAACGAAGGGACCTGCTGTATTTGGGGATTATCTTCATCTAAAGTGCATCTTTAGATGGAGAGCTGATGCTTGAAGGACTGGGTTTCAGTTTTCCTTTTAAGGAAAAATGTAAGGTTTTGCAACATATTGAAGAGTTGCTTGTGATAAAATATAAGAGGAGAAAATTCTGATTTTGTCTCAAATGGAATTTTCAACACAGGGAGAAGAAGGTGATTCCTTGAGGTCCTGGGGGCTGTCGTCAGGGGCAGGGGTGGCCCGCTGCTGCTGATAGATGTCCTGGATCAGCAGGGTGTTCATGACTTTCCACTCTCTATATTTCCTGGCTGTCAGCTTCGGGTCATCCAGTAACTGGTTAATCATGGCCAGGTCATGTTCTTTACACTGTGCGATAGAAAGAAAGGGGAAGGGGGTGTGTTGAAGTGTCTTGATTTACATAAACCATCTTTACCGACTCTTTCACAAGTTCACATATACATTTACCATAAAATTATCAAAGCATTTTTGCATGTTAATATTCTAATTCCAGCATCAAGCCTAAGAGATATGACATTTGTTTACATATGCTAACCCGCCACGAGGAATTTAAGTGTCCTACCCAAGAGTTAGTGGAAGAGCTAAACATGTAGCAAAGGTCTTCTATGTTGCCTTTCTCTGATAAATCCATTATTCCACAGCATAGTAACAATGCTACCTTGGTGTGAGAATTATACCTCCTAAAACTTATCATTTCATTGTTAGCATTTCATTGACCATCCAAACTTCACCATGCAAAACTGGAACATAACACTTTACCTAGGACATAAGGTAACATGAAATATATCTTTTACGATTGTATTATCTTTATTTTTAATAAATCACATTAATTTAATTAATATACACTGAATAACTACACAGGTTATCTTTTTAGTCAAAGAAGAGGCTACTAACCTTCCATGAAAATGGTATGTATGCCAATAAAGCTAATAAACAACCTATTAGTGCCACTCTGTCTCCTCTGTAACCAATGACACACATTTCTGAAATGTCTAGCTCAGGTTAGAGTTTTCTACAGACAAAAAACGAACTAAATATAAGGTGTTCATCCTCCATATTAAAAACAAATATTCAGCCCCAACAATTGTGTTTCAAATCTACACCTGTTTTCTCCATCCCATGCCCAGAGTCCTAAGCTTGGATATCCAGTTCAATATATCACACCTGATCTGCTGCCACAGCCTCTTGAGTGAGATCACTGCCTGCAATGCCCACTTGAACTCCACCTCCACTTAGCAGAGCAGGGATGTATCCAAATGCCAAGTCCTCCTCACGGATCCCCTTACGCCCAAGGCGACTCAGCTGCACTGGCACCATTTGTGGAAACTCTGCTTCCTTCTGACTTTCCAGTCTAATGTACTGGTGTGCATTTTCTCACCCCCACACTAGCTCACACCTCTGTGTCATTGTGCCACACGGAGAATCTTCCTTGTCTTTATTCACCTGATAAACTCTAATTTCTAGAGTTTCTTTTCCACAGAACACTTTGCAATTTTTCTTTACCCAATTTGTAAAATTTATTTATTCTCATTTATTTATTTATTTATTTATTTTGAGACGGGAGTCTCAATCTCTCTGTAACCAGGCTGGAGTGCAGTGGCGCGATTTGGGCTTACTGCAACCTCTGCCTCCCGGATTCAAGCGATTCTTGTGCCTCAGTCTCACAAATAGCTGGGATTACAGGGATGTACCACCATACCCAGCTAATTTTTGTATTTTTAGTAGAAACTGGGTTTCCCCATGTTGGCCAGGATAGTCTCGATCTCCTGACCTTGTGATCTGCCTGACTCAGGCTCCCAAAGTGCTGAGATTAAAGGTGTGAGCCATTGCACCCGGCCTTTATTTATTTCTCTTTTGAAACAGAGTCTCACTCTTGCCCAGGCTAGAGTGCAGTGGCCTGATCTCATCTCACTGCAACCTCCACCTCCCACGTTCAAGCAATCCTCCTGCCTCAGCCTCCCAAGCAATTGGGATTAAAAGCATGCACCACCACGCCTAGCTAATTTTTGTATTTTTGGTAGAGACAGGGTTTCACCATGTTGTCCAGGCTGGTCTCAAACTCGTGATCCGCTCGCCTCAGCCTCCCAAAGTACTGGAATTACAGGCATGAGCCACTGCGCCCGGCCTGCCCAATTTTTCATAACCCATACTCATTAAGGCATCACATTATCCAGGAAACCTTCCCTGTACCCCCAATATTGGACTGATAAGCTTTTAAGTTTTTATGTTCTCACGCCTTCCGATATTCTGGAACCCTCTGAGAACTTACCAAGGTACATTTAGGTATTTATGGATGAGTCATGCCACCTCTTCTAAAGCTTAAAAATGACAAGAAACATTTCCTTCGTCCCTGTGTTCCCTGCACCTAACACAATGCCGAGTGCCATGCAGACATTCCATCCCTGCATATGACGGAACGACCCTTTTTGACTATCCCCAGAACAGCATGTGTGAGGCTAAAGCTTCACAAGCACTGCCAGTAAGTGGATCTTCACCACTCTTGGGTCATCGCCCTTTCACATCCCTTTTCTGGGAGTCTCTCAAACGACTATTTCAAAATCTCATCTCAAACCCCCTCTCTCATCCTCACTCGCAGCTGACGGCCTTGCTCTCTCTTTTTTGAGGAAATGGAAACCAACAGAAGAGCACTTCTCCCAAGTTCCTGTTGCCCAAGAATGACGTGGATGCAAATCTATGCTGCCTTCCCTACTGTTCACAGAGACGGAACATCTGTGCTCCTAGCAAAGGCCAGTCTCTGCGCTTCGGAACAATGGCCCCCGCTCTCCTACTCAAGAAATTCATCCCAGCAACTCTCTCCTCTCCTATGACTCACCAACTTCCCAGCTCCCCTCCGGCAGTCTCACTGGGATACACATTCGCTGTTATTTCTTCCGTTTTCGAAGTCCTCTCTGCCCCCAAATCCCTGTCCAGCGAATGCTCCACTTTCTCCTTGTCTCCAATGGCCCATTCTTTCACAGATTCACTCCCTCCAGGCTTTGGCCCCCACCATTTACCAGAACTGCTCTTGTGAAGACCATCAGTGACCTCCATGTTGTTAAATCCAATAATCCATTAAATCAATGTCAAACAGAAGCCCCTAAAATGACTGACTACTCCTCCTTCTTGAACACTTCCATCATTGTGCCTCTGTGACCTTCTCCTGATTTGTCTCATCCCACAATGGCTACTTACTCTCACCTGGGTTGCTGGTTCCCCTCATCACACCACCTCTTCTCACTAGAGTGTTCCAGAGCCCCAGCTTGGAGCCTCTTCTCTGCTCTATCTACATTCACACTCTTGGTAATCACATGTAATCTCTCCCACTCTCCCTATGTGCTGATGGTCCCAAATTTATATCTCTTTTTACTTCTCCCCTGGACTCCATAATCATTTGTCTAAACTTCCTCTTCAGCAGTTCCACATCAACCCCGAAGAGGCATCTCAAAAATAACACGTCCAAAGCTAAGTTCCTCTTGCTCTCTACATCCCCACCCCACCCACTAACTGCCAATACGCACCAAACCCTGTTCTCACCGCAGTCTTCCACAAAGCACTGAATGGTAACTCCACTTTCCAGTTGCTCAGGGCAAACACTGGAGTCATTCATGACTCCTTCTATCACACCCAATCCACCAGCAAATCCTGATGGTTCTACCTTCACACATGACACAAAGCATGCCATACCTCTGTTCAGAACTTTCCAAAGGGTCACTGTCCTATTCCGCATAGAAGCTGGTGTTTGCAATGGCAATGAGGCCCCCTCTGGCAAGAGTCCCTGCTGTCCCTCTGGCCCACTGCTGCACCCCCTTTGCTCCATCCCCACTACAGTCCAGCTGACTGACCTCCTTGCTTTTCCTTAAATGCCCAGGCACACTCACACCACAAGGTGTTTCCATTTTCGTTTCTTTTGCCTGCGGCATTCTGCGTCAGAAAACCTCAAGCCTCCTTCCCTTTCCTTTTCCAGATTTTACACAAATTATGTCTTTTAAAGAGGCCTTTCATGCCCTTCCTAATTAAATATCAATTCCTTAACATTTTCTATCCCTCTCTTATCATATTACAAAATTTACTACTGAATTATGTTTATTCTCCTACTAAAACATAAGCTTTAGGAAGGCAGGCCTTTTTGTCTGCTATGCCCACTGCTAGAGCCCCAAGTGCCTGAAAGAATGACTAAAACATGTAGCTATTCATCAAATACCTGTCAAAAAAATGAGTATATAAAATAAAAATAAATGAATTACCCATTTGCTTTTTATTCTCTTTTGCATTCTGAACCATATTTGGAGTCTGAGGAAATCCTTTCCATTAAACAAACAAATGAGACATAAATTGATTGATTGGTAGATAATTAGTTAGATAAATAGACGACAGATATTAATAGACAGATAGATAGCATGACAGATGATAGATGATAGATAGATAGATAGACAGAAAGACAGACAGATAGATGGATAAAGATAGGAAGCCTTCCTTCCAAAACGGAGAAAAATCAGTGCAGTAGCAAAGTAGAGGGATTGTTTATAGAAAGTCAGTCAGGGCCAAAAGAGCAGATTGCTTCTCTCTGAGTTTTCAATATCTATGCTTCAAAAACAACTTTTCCAAAAAACAAAAAAAAAAAAAAAAAAAAAAAAAGATTTCATTCTCTGATATCATCAAAGGGCTATTAATATAAAGTTATTTAAGGTGTTTTATTTTGTTCTAAAGAAATTAAGACATCTGCTTCAGAGGAAGATCCTAATTCATCATATTAGACAACTAAATAAGATCTCTGAAGATTAATAAAAATTGGGGAAACTGACTTTGAAAAGGCAAACATAAATTAACCCCTCTTTACATCTAATAACATTTTTAGAAAAGGGTCTCTTCCACTTCGGGCATTAAGCTGACACTTCTCACATGGCTTTTGGCTCTAACTAGTTCAAATGTTTTACCACTTGGCTCAAATCTGTGTTAATTCTTTTATAGATGAAAGAAGAAAATGTAGACAATAATACAGAAGAAGGAAATTAATGAAACAACAGGATGTTCCAAGCTCGTTCTTACACCAGGCACCCTCAGGCTGAGCCTTGTCCAGCAGCCCAGCTTCTCCTGGATGGTGCAGGAGGCTTCTGGAGGGCTTTGAACTACTTTCACAACATCCGCTCTGCTTTCTGGTAGGCAAGGAAAGTTTGGCAAGGATTCCAAATATATCATGAAAGAGAGTGCTATACTTTCAGTTTTTACTCCAAATAGTCAGTGTATGGCTTGGCTCAAGACCTAAGCATTGGAAACGTGTTCCACCAGAGCAGTTATGAGGAAGAGGGGGCTCACTGCTCTTTTGACATAGGCCAGAGTAACTCAGAGAGAGTTCCAGGTGAACCCATTAATTATTCCATTAATAATTTATTTTGAAATAAAAACAGGCTTGGCCAAAAGTCAGTGAATGTTGAACTGTTAAAAATTCCTAAATATCTACATTTGGTGTAAAACATAATACAATCAACTTTTGCTCAGTCTCAACTTGGAAGTTTGCTCAACTTCCTAGAAGAATTTCCCTGGAGTGCAATCATTCCAGTACTATCCCAGTGCCAGGATTTTTCTTATTTATAAAATGTGTCTACAGCAAATATAAACATTATTGTTAAAACAGTTTCCTAGCTTCTGCATGAAACTCTGTTGTCTTTGCTTGTCCACACTCCTACTTTGAAGTTTTTAAAAAACAAACATTTCCTCTGTGTATGACATTCTGTGCCATGTATCATACACAGAGAAAAGTGCACAAATAGAAAAGTTAGTGCTTAAAGAATCATCACAAAATAAACCCTTCCATACAACTACTACCAAGGTCACAGAAGGACCCATACCCAGCACTCAGAAGCTCCATTTGCTCCCCCTCAGTCCCATTCTCTCTTCTTCCTCAAAGGCAACCACTCTCTTGCCCGCTTTGAATTTTAAAAACAGTGAGAAATAATTATTATACCCTTCCAACATGAACACGAATACATGTATCAAGTTCTCTCTCTCCTTTGAATAGTTTGATGTGCTTTGCTTTTGTTTGGCTTCTTTGGCAAGGCTAATTTCCACATCAACATGTCCTCCTACCTCCTGAGATTCCTAGAACTGCCTGACGTGGGTCCTGTTACATTTCATCAGCCCCCAGCACTATGCTCTGGGGAGACCTGAGAGACCTGTGGAAAGGGCTGCTTCCCACAAATATCCAGAGAGAGCAGTTCCCCAGCAGCATGGGGCAGGCAGCCCTGAGCAGGCCCCCAGTCTTCTCTGCTTCCTGGTGTCCAAGGCCTTGTGTAACTCCTCCCTGAAAATGAGATGACCTAAGGACCTCCTTCTACTGAATAGAATACTGCAAAAGTAATGTGGTGTCATTACTGCCACTGGCTTATAACCCAGCTTGCTCACCCACTCTCATTGCGTTGCTTGCTCTGAAGAAGCCAGTTTCCAAGTTGTGAGCTGCCCTATGGAGAAGCCCCTGTGGCAAGGAACTGAGGGTAGCCCCTGGCCAACAGCTGGAGAACAACCGAGACCCTCAGTCCAACAACCTGAAAGCAGCTGAATCCTGCCAATTAACTAGAGGCGACAGCTTAGAAACTAACCCCTCTCCTGGGAGGAATGAATGCAACCCCAGCAGAAACCCTGATCACAGCCTTGTGAGAGACCTAAGGGCAGAGGCATTTGACCAAGCCACACCCAGATTCCTGACCACAGACACTTTGAAATAATAAATGCTAATTGTTTGAAGTTGCTAAGCTTTGGGATAATTTGTTACTTAGCACTGAATAACCTACACACTGGCAGAAAAGCCACAGCTGCTGACTTCACCAACATAGTCATAGTGCACAGAGTGCATGAGGTCACAGAGACTCATAGGGAACAGTAACAGGTAACACTAATCATTTTCACAAACTTGGGCCCCCAGCGGCCAGGTGAGGGCATGGTACCGTAAAGATCTAGACTCCTGAGTCTGCTACTCTATGGAAGGTCCGAGGCCACAGTCTTCTCCTAATAATGACTCAAACCTCTCCTTGGCCTCTACTTCCTGCTTCTTCCAACATGGACTAAACTATTACCTATTGACAGACATTCCACTTCCTTGTATGTCCTTCCCTTGGCATTCATTTCTTCCTGACTCACCAGCTTCGTGACATTGTTCTTAATGCCCCCAGTAAGCCACTTTCCCCCTCTGGGCCACCAAAGCACCCTGAGCACATCTCAATCATAGTGTTTTTGCACTTCATTTTAATCACGTATTCGTTTTCCTCTATTTCCACCCTCAGTATTCATTTTCCTCTGTTTCTACCCCCAGTAGAGTCCATTCAACGGTCCCAGTCACCTAGAATAGTGGTGGTACACAGTAAAAGTTAGGAAATACTTGCTGGTACACAGTAAGAGTCAGGAAATACTTGCTCAATGAAAAATTTACTCACTCATATCAGCTATCACAGACAAAGAAGACAGCAAAATCCCAACACACTATGACATACTACATTGAATAATCAAACATATTCATTAGCTTTGTACATACCGTGAAATGATGGCCAGTGTGATATCCTTTATTATCATTAAAAATTTTAATATTAAATAGGAATGACTTTCTCTGCATTTGTATTTCTCTGTATAATTAAAATTAACTTTTCCTCTTTCATTCCAGCCTCATTTTTGCAGTTTTTTAGGGTATTTAGATGTTCTACTGACTAACTGGGACATCTGACTAACAGCCACTCAGCCTGCCTTTGTAGCCTTGTCCTTTCAATGGCTGCATTTCTTCCTGGAAAATGACTCAAGTTCTTAATGCCAACGGCCATATACAAAACAAAATTCACTTGCAGAATCCATCAAAGCTTTTCAGATAAATCGTCTGCTAAGTCAGGACTATTTTACAAAATATCCTGGCCTCCACCTGTTCATGTTATAATCTAAATGTGAAAAGCAGGACACTTTTGTTATGAAGAACCATTTCGGCTCAGGGAGGCCCTGAAAATAGCTTCAGTGCTTCCTGTACACTGTCCCTTATTCCCATTGTGAAAACATCTGCTGGTCTATTACCACAAAGTGTGTACTTCCCACAGTGGGGCTCTCACGGTACTTCCTGGCTAGAGCCCCCACTCTGCTGTCGCTGAAGTCAAGCCATTTTCTTCTGGCTGTAGTCCAGAAGAATGGCGCCCTTGCATGAATCACATGAAAACTGGAGATCTTATTTCTATGACTGTTTCTTCTCACCAGTGGATGATCTCTGTCTCTCATCAACATTTATTGAAGCAGGTACTATGCTAGGTATAAGGGTTACAAAAACAAATTATGCATGGTCCTTGCTGTCTAGGAGATTAAAATTGAAAATTTTTATATCAGAGTGAATGTAAACATCAAGGCCTATTGTGAAAAACTGCCTTGGGCGCTACTGTGTGCACATCCTAGTGCTTTAAGACTGTCAAGGTCATCACACCCTATCTAGATTATATTTACTTTTACAGCCCTTCCCTGCACCCACACAAACACGCTGTGATTGGCAAGAACCTCTCTGCAGAACCAGCCATTCCCTGCCCCACATCCCTAGAGTTCATCCACGATTTGAAATTTTGTTACCTTTAATGTGCTATTCAACGTTCGGATTTTGTGGAGTTTCTCGTTGATGGATGGATTTTTACACCGCTTAACAAAGGATTTTCTCAACTCCTTTTTAGTGGAAGGTCGCCGGTCCCCAAGAGGAGATAGACTAGCTTGCTCTAATGATTTGTACAGCTTCTCCATTTCATCATCTTCAGACACTTTTGTCTCTTCTATTTGAAAAAAAAAAGAAAGCAAGCAATAACAATAAACCCAGTGAAACGTCAAGGAGAAAACATTCAATACTGTGGTCCTAAAGCACAGCCCTGCGGGCACCGTCAGCTCAGACTTCTTTCCAGAACCGAAAGACAATAAATGTTTGCTGTCTAAGCCATATAGTTTGCGATATTTTGTTACTGCTGAGCCATGTGTCCTCTGAAGGCACCAGGGAAGGAGTTATTTCTCTCTTCTGGCTTCAAGTGGTTCTTTGGTTTGTGGCAGCATAACTACAATATTCCCGTGGGATGCTCCCTGTGTGCATGTCTCTGTGTCCAAACTTCCCTATTTATGATGATATCAGTCATATTGGATTAGGAACCTACCCTACTGCCTTCTTTTTTTTTTTTTTTTTTTTTTGAGATGGAGTTTTGCTCTTGTTGCCCAGGCTGGAGTACAATGGCACCTTCTTGGCTCACCGCAATCTCTGCCTGCCAGGTTCAAGCAATTCTCCTGCCTCAGCCTCCTGAGTAGCCGGGATTCCATGGATGCGCCACCAGGCCCAGCTAATTTTGTATTTTTAGTAGAGACAGGGTTTCTCCATGTTGATCAGGCTAGTCCTGACCTCAGGTGATCCACCTGCCTCACCCTCCCAAAGTGCTGGGATTACAGGCGTCAGCCATCATGCCCGGCCTGCCCTCATTTTAACATGTTAAATCTGCAACAAATCCATTTCCCAATAAGGTCACATTCTGAGGTAGTAGGGGTTAGGACTTCAACATATAAATTTCATTCTTTTTTTTTTTTTGAGATGGAGTTTCACTATTGTCACCCAGGCTAGACTGCAACAATCCCTGCTCACTACAACCTCCACCTCCAAGGTTCAAGTGATTCTCCTGTCTCAGCCTCCCAAGTAGCTGGGGTTACAGGTACCTGCTACCATGCTTGGATCATTTTTGTATTTTTAGTAGAGACAGGGTTTCACCATGGTGCCCAGGCTGGTCTCAAGCTCCTGACCTCAGGTAATCTGCCTGTCTCAGCCTCCCAAGGTTGCTGGGATTACAGGCATGAGCCACTACACCAGCCCAACATATGAATTTTAGAGGGACACAGTTCAACCCACACATAGACCACCCTCCAACCTCCCAAAGTCATGTGATTCTCACATGCAATACATCCACCTCACCCCAACAACTTGAAAAGTCTTAACCCATTCCACATCTACTCTAAGACCAAAAGCTCATCCAAATATCATCCAGGCCAGGTGTGGTAGCTCACGCCTGTAATTCCAATACTTTGGGAGGCTGAGGTGGGCAGATCGCCTGAGATTGGGTGTTTAAGACCACCCTTGGCAACATGGTAAAACCCCATGTCTACTAAAATACAAAAAAATTAGTCAGGCACGGTGGCACATGCCTGTAATCTCAGCTACTTGGGAGGCTAAGGCAGGAGAATTAATTGAACCCGAAGGTGGAGACTGCAGTGAGCTGAGATCACACCACTGCAATCCAGCTTGGGCTATAGAGTGAGACTCCATCTCAAAAAACAAAATCAAAAAAAAAAACAAATTATCATCTACACCAGGTATCGGTGCAACTCAGTGGGGGAGTAATTGATCTTGAGGCAAAATTCATCTCCATCTTTAAACCCATGCAAGTAGATGACTATCGGCTTCTAAAATACAATGGTGGGACAAATAAACCCTAGCAAAGTATACCCATGCTAAAGTTTAATTACTACTCCCTAGATGATTTCTTAATGTCCTTCCCAGAAATACCCTTTGAGAGAGGAAACATGTCTGTGGTCTGTGGTTTTGAGTAGAAAGTGATCTTCCTTATCTTGCCACACAGGCTCCATCTCCCTTCCTAACCACACTTTGCCAGCCTCAGCCCACATGACTGCAGTGAAGCGACTCCACCACAGGATCTCCTGGGGACCATACAGACTAGAGGAGGCCAATGGCAGGTCCACCATTCTGGCCACAGTCATTGATTCAGAGATGAACAAGTTTCTCTGGTCAGGCCATCTGGGTCCAGGAAGACTCAGTTCCAAGACTTTAGTTTGGATATCAGATAAGTAATCTCTCTTTTTCTTAAACTGAATGTTGTGATAATGTGAGCTGGAAGCTTCCAGGAAGTATCTCAAGAATAATGATACTGGAGGCAACCCATTCTGAGACACAGATCTTGATGATACCATTGGAGCCCTCTTGGCCTACGGGAGCTACTATGTTACCCATATTAAGCTACCCTGGATTTGGTTTTCAATCACAGGCACCTGATGGGCCTCATATGATACAGACGTTACTCAAAAAAAATCTTCATCTCTTGATGTTGCTTTAATTTTTAAGAATGTTAGTCTGTTATTCCTTTATTCCCTGAAAATAAGCCTGGGAAAGAAACACAATGAGATTCCTTTTTCCACGGCATACTCCTTGATGTTTGTATGTTTCACTTCCTGTCCAAAGAACCAGCTTGAGGGAGGACTCTATAGAAAGTATGGCATTAGAGGAACTAGAAAAACAGCCTCTCCACAGGATGGAGAAAAGCATTTAATGGGCACCTAGGAGCATCAAAACCAAGCAAACTTCACATATCTTAGAGTTTACTCCTCTACCATTAGAAATATTTAAGCAAGAATCGGTTTCCCCTCATCTATCCCAGAAAGGCACTGATATTCTTTCATAAAATGGCAAGCAAAGGTGATGCACTAACTTGATAACTGACTTAAAGTGTTAGTCACCACAACCTCTTTTTTTCTCTACCAAATCATCTCACAAAAAAGGGAAGAAAATATTCAAAACTACATCTGAAGACAGACTTTTGGCTCAGGCCATGTGCAGACATCAAAAGTGGACTTTTGTCAATAAGCACATGAAAAGATGCTCAATATCATCAGTCATGAGGGAAATGCAAGCCAAAACCACAATAAGATGTCCCTTCACACCTATCAGGGTGGCTACAATAAAAAAGACAGACAGTAGAAAGTGTGGGTAAATTGGAATCCTCATACATTGCTAGTGGGAACGTAAAACAGAGCTGCTACTTTTATTTTATTTTATTATTCATTTTTTAAAGACAGGGTCTTGGTCTGTCACCTGAGCTGGAGTGCAGTGGCACGATTATAGCTCATTGCAGCCTTGAACCCCTGAACTCACTATATTCTCTGGCCTCAGCCTCCAAGTAGCTGGGACTACCAGTGCACGCCACTATAATCAACTAATTGTAGTTGTCACTTTATAAAATAGATTGTCCATTTCTCAAAATGCTAAACATGCAGTTTAGCTTGTGTCCCAGCAATTCCACTCCTACATAAATCCCCAAGGGAATTGAAAACATATCTTCGCACAAAAATTGTACATGAATGCTCCCAGCAGCATTGTTCATAACAGACTATAAGTCAGAAAAGCCTAAATGTTCATCAGGTGATGAAAAGATAGACAAAATGTGGCATTTGCATGTAAAAGAATATTATTCAATAATTAAAAGAAGTAAAGTACTCTGTTGTCCACTATACTATGACATGGGTGAAACTTGGAAACATTTTGCTAAGTAAAAGAAGCCAGTCACAAACAACCACATATTGCATGACTCCGTTATATAAAATGTCCAGATTAGACAAACCCACAGAGACAGAAACTAGAATAATAATTGCCTGGGGTCTGGGAGAGGACAAGCGGGAATGAGGAATGGCAGCTAATGTGTAGGGATTTCTTTTTGTGATGCTGAAGTGTTCCAAAATTGGACTGTGATGACAGTTACACAACTCTGAATATACTAAAATCCACTGAACTGTACATTTTTATGTGTAAATTTTATGGTATGTGAAATACATCTCAATAAAGTTGTAAAAAAGGAGTCATTTATTAGATTGTTATGAGAACTGATGCTACACAGCAGAAATACTAAGCATGGCCAAGTCCTGGCGTTAAGCTGGAGACACTAGAAAGTCTTCAGGAAGTTAAGTAGAAAGAAATCTGACTTCCAAAGGGGACATTAGGATTGAGGACTTGGAGTTTTCAGTTTTCAGACACACGGTAATTTCACATGCCCTTTTTTTTTTTTTCTTAAATACAGCTAGCCAGGTAGAATTCAACTTAGATTAAGGAATAAACACATAGCTTAATACCACACTACTTTTGAATTAAGGAATATATGTTTAACAAACATCAACAAGCAAACAAAAGTATGACAAAGATACTCTTGGTTTTTTTTTACGTTTCTCTGTGTTCACCAAGTAGCTAATTGTGCTACCAAAGATTGTGATAGAAAACAACTTACTAATTGAGCCACTAAAAGAAACAAATATTTTTGACTAACACATTTCATTTGTAATTATGTCAGAGTAACAATTATTATATTAAAATCACATATTTAAAATCAATAGATATTAAATCAGTAAAGATAAAAATAACTTTAGAATCTTGAGATAACATGGAATAGAATATATTCCCTACATGAAAAATAAATGGAACTTCCTTCTGGATAGCTTTATTATTATTTGATATATTTACATGAAGATATGTGATCTTTATGTTAAGAATATCAAAGGGTACCTTCCCCCTCCTCCACTTCTTTTTCTAATTTACACTTTGGGGTGGGCAGCTGTGTACATATATATGTAACTTGATCTCCCAATAAATATTTAAACTTTAAAACTAACAAACAAATAAAGTGAACCTGTTGGGGTAACCAGACATGAAAACAGAATTCATCTAAAATTCACATATTAAGTAAAAAAAAAAAAAAAATCTTCTATTTGAATTCATCCAAAAATGAGATAATGGCAAGAGGTATGTATGTTCAGACATGATTAAAGCTGTTCAGGAAATGAGGAAAAAATGAAAGGCAAATTATCACTCAGCTTCCTGCCTCTCGGGCATCCCTCTCCTCAGAGAAAGCCTGGAACTGAAAGACTGTGTGTCTGATCTCTAATAACCTGATCCCAGAATCACCCACAAGCATAAAACAGTAAAAGACTGAATGCTGGCATTAGGAGACAAGAAAATACCCTTACT